TTTTTTAGTTGAGGGTGGGAATTTTTTTTCCGGATCTTTTTTTTTTTTTTTTTGACGATAAAAACTTCAGACTCCTGTGCCCTAGAACACAAATGTTCTGACCTATTTAATTACCCAAACTTATTCTGTATACATGGAGAAGTGGTAACACATTGAATAATATGATTATATAATTATTTATAAACTTTACTGGTCTAAGAAGTTACATGTACTAGTAATATAATAGATAAACATGCTTAATACTTGTATATTTTACGTAAATAATTGTAGATTATAAAAATTAACATGTATTTTTTATCTGCATCATAAACACCAGATGCATTAATACATTAAAGCCTAAGATAAAACTTTGATAAAAAGAGGAATGAATTAAAAAAATTATACTTGGGAAAATACTGAACGTCAAAATGTTTCCGAACGATCTATGATTTTTGTTACCGTGATCTTGCCCCTCATGTTTGACATTTCACAAAAGCTGCTAAAGGCATCCATCATCTACTAAATAATGCACCGAAAGCGGACCGGAATCACAATTCTTTGAATTTGCTTGGTCCTTACGATTTAAATAAAAAAGGGGGGAGGCTTAAATTTCTTCAAATAATTTTTCTTAGTTATTTTTTCTTGCAAAATTCAAACAAAGAACATTGATATTAGTTTAAATTTTTCATTAGTTTCATTTTCATTTGAATGAGACATTATATTATTATGCACAGTAAGAGGCATATAAACAGGATTCGGAAACAAATTGTTGCAGTTTATATTAATTCGTTTCCTTGATATAACTTTGAATGATAAATAAACATTTTTTTTTTATTTTGTTGCTCGGCAAATGTGCTAAATGAAAAATAGTTAAGAAAAAAATGAAAGAAATTAACAGGTAAATGAACATATATTTGAAAAGATGTTTTAACATTTAACATAAGTTCAAAAACTACATATTTACAATGTACTATATATTCATGTATATAAATGTATAGACGAACATAAATATATCAGTCAGAAATTAGTGAAGAATATACAATACAGAAACTTGGTTTCAACATATTTCATTGTACAAGTATAATATACAAATGGTTTGATCTCAAGTTCAATAACTTCTAAAATGAAAAAAAGACTTACAAATAAAGGCAAAAGCGATAGGATTAAATAAAAAAAAATCTTAAGGATGCAGCGTCATGATGAGCATACATGCTTAAAAAGACTACATTGAATCTAGGTATTAGTATTGTCCTATTGGGGTAAATCTCACCCCCGGTGGTAGTAAATACAAAATTCACAATTGGTAAATACTAGGGATGTCAATTTTACTCGGACAGCTTAGTCGAATAGTCGGATGCTTTAGTCGAATAGTCATATTCCTTTAATTTTAATTATTTTTTCATATCATTTTCACTGTTTGTCTTTTACGGACTAGTTTACAATATTTAATCTACACTATCGCCATTATACATCGAATTTCTGAATTGTAAACATGTACGTAGCACAATAAAAACTGTGCATCAATATGTATCCAGTGTATTTTATTTCAAAATTAATATGCTGCACATTTTATCTAAATGCAGGATATCAAACACCGGTTACAAGTATTTATCCTTTCTTTACATAACGGTAGTACATGTATACCAGAATTGAAGCCAATTTCTATGTGTCCGTCAATGATCTTTGACAGGTAAACAATTAAAGCATGTCTCTTGTAAAAACAAAGAGAGAGCATATAATTTTTGATTATGAAATTTTGTGCAAACAATCAATGATTGTATGAAATTAATATCAGAAAATGAAAACAGTTTTTTATTACTCTCATAACTGACCAATTTACATGTATTTACAATTTTGTAATTGCTGTTTAATTAATATTCTTTCTGAATAGTTGTATCACGTCAGATCTTAGTTTGAATATTCAAAACTTAACAATTGCCCTCTCCATTTAAAACAGTAAGAGGTAGACAATCATTAATAAACATGTTTGATTTTCTTTCCCATGCAATCTGCTCTTTTTGCATTTTTGCGGAGAACTTATAATTATTTTAGGAAAGTTTCACTTGAACACTGTATATATGTTTGACTGATTCGGCATATGACACATCATGATGTTACACTGCAGAATACAAGTTCTGTTTCACATAACCTTGATAACACTGTTTACCTTTTTCTTAAGCTATACCAAAACTGTAGATTTTGAAGACATGTTTGCCGAACATGCACATCGACGTACAAATAATTTCCTTTGAACAGTTATACGAGCATACCCTTAATTTTACATACGAATGTATTGATCTGTAAATAAATGAAATGGGCAAATATAAGTTTATTGCCTTGAATTCAAAATTACTTTAATGAAACACATTTTTAACTAACACAAAGAAATTTTAGTCGTAAATACAAAATTTACAATATTCGTTGACATCCCTAGTAAATACAAAATTTACAAGCTAGATGAATGAGAAAAGAGGGCCCAATTTGATGATCAAATACATGTGCTCAAATCACAACGCAATGGCGAACAAAAAAGGGTTTTGCAGAAAAAGTTTTGTTTGCAGAAAAATAGCAAAGAGAGTCTTTCGGTTATAACTTCTTATTGTGATCAGCTTAAATTATGAATGTGTCAAGGTATCTTTTTAATAAACATTCTTTAAAATCCCTCAAATCCATAGGCATTAGTAGTTAGGGCTTCATCCCACCCTGTCTCTAAGTCCCCCCCCCCCCCCCCTACCCGAGGCCCACATAAATTCCTTTACCTAACCGAAAAAACCTCCCTCAACTGTAAGGAAAATTTCACACTTAGTCTTCGTTCATAAGAACGATTTTTTTTAAATTTTAATTTCATTTAAAATTTTAATTTCTAAATAAAAAGAGCTTATTTTTGAAACCAGACTAAAATTTTCCTGAAAATGAATAAATTTAAATTATATGACACCCATGCATATGTACGTATTTTCTTATTTAATTGTATTTAAAATTGAACTTTTATTAAAATTTTCGAAAAGTTTTTCCCTTGAGGTTTTTTTTTCTTTTTCAAATAAAGATTAGTTATTTTGTGAAGATATGACAATTATTTATATGATTTTTTTAAAACCAATTTTAACAAAATCATAGACCTAGAGGAAAAATGCGAATACACTACCCGAGAAACTTTTCAAACATAAAATCTGATAAAAAGTCAAAGTTTCCAGACAATTTGCATGTATTTATAGATATAATCGTTAAAAATATATAATCATGTAAATTGTACACGTATATTAATATTTTCTGGTTGAACAAATCTACTGCATTTTAGTCCAATTTAGGGAACTATAGCATTTACTATTCATAGACTGTGTGTAAGTGGGGGAGGTGGCAAGTTTAGTATTTCTTTCGTTTTGTTATTTTCAAGATATTCAAAGGCAGTTTTTTTCCTCACTGGAAAAAAGTTTGACAAGCATCAACAAAATATAAATAAATAAATAAATTGTAAATGAATAAATAAATAAATATGAACAATAAATTAATAAATAAATAAATTTAGTATATTGTAAATGAATAAAATAAAATTCTCAAACTTTATTTCTTGATGTTTTCAAATGCAGATTATTTAAAAACCTTCCCCAACTAGGCTACACATCGACTGAACTGCTTGAAGGGAATAGGCCTCTCAAATATGACCAGCTCATAGACTCTGCAAGAGTTATCTTTCTTGTTAAAAAGCATGTTGGGATATTTTTGTTTTCGTCGCCATTTTGGATGTTGATTCTGGTCTCTTCATCTGTCAGCGAAAGTCGACGTATCGGGGTGTGAATCGACACGAGCTATGTGATATGTGACAACGGCATCATGAATTCTTGACAATTACGATAGTTCCGACATTGTTTTAACACCATCAGATCCAGAAATGGCGACTACGAAGGAAACAAAACAAAAACGGAAGCAGCTAAAACTGAAGGCGGTGCCCCAGAAAACAAAATTGTTTCGGGCAAATGAACCTTTGTTGAGTGTGTTTATGTGGGGCATTAACCATACCGTAAGTTTTCAAGATTTTAAATCAAAATTGGATTGAGATGTTGTCTTCGTTGAAGTGTTAAAAATCAAACAAGTTGCATTGTTTTTATGTTGATTGAAACACACATCAGGCCATGATAGGATGGTGGGCTGAATTTTGGACATTCAAAAGTCTTATTGTTTTAAAAAAAATGTCATTGTCATCAAGCTCATGTAAGTTATGAGAAGTAATGAACAATGATTATTTTTATTTATCAGACTTCAGTTCATAAACATGATAAACATTTATCTAAAAAACGTGACTAGGGAGTGGTTTGGATGAATCTGTAACAGGAAAAGAGAAAATGTATGTTGGCCGGGGATCGAACCCGGGACCCCTGCATCTCTAGTCAGGTGCTCTACCAACTGAGCTATCCAGGCCGATAACCACGGCCCAAACCATTACATTCCTCCCTCCTTAAATTGTCTTCGCCCTCGAAGACACAACCCAAGTTCTTATTGCCCCTGGCAGGACTTTCACCTGCAATTCCAGGGGTGGTCAACGGCACCAAATCTGTAACAGGAAAGGAGAAAATGTATGGCTGGACCGGGAATCCTTGCATCTCTAGTCAGGTGCTCTACCAACTGAGCTATCCAGGCCGATAACCATGGCCCAAACCATTACAGAATCCTTCATCATAATATATAGGTACCATATAACAGTCAAATTTAATAAATGGGAAAAAAAAATCTTTTGAACACTGAATTCAATTGATGCAGATGTTAAATCCTGAAAATATTAAAGTATATTGCTTGAAATACCAGTAGCTTATTTTATAGTGGGGTACATCTGGCCTGTGCCTGCCTAAAATTGTCAAAGCGAAAAACAGTTTCGTAAAGAAAATATAAAACATGTCTACTAGGTAGACCTCATTTTTACAAAATCTCGAGAATTGAGGAGCTTCCCGCAGCTCTGCCCCCTTTGGCTCCTACCAAGGTTTGACCTGGACCCATGCTCTCAATGCAGCCACCTGCCTACTACCCTAACTTCTGTTCAATTCATATATCCCCACCTAAATATTTGCTATTTGTTAAAAGTATGGTAGATGTGTATTAATTTCATCATCAACATTTAAATTTGAGGAAACTTGTCAATGACTAAAACTTCATAATAATCAAAATATTCTCTGAATTATAGTTCTGAATGATGACGTATTCATTAATAGTGTTTATTTTTTGAAAAATATCATGCAATAAATATATTCCCAAAAAGTTATAAATGATGATGTTAATTCCCTTTAAAATGTAAGAGGCTTATGTGTAGGACATTCAAATATAGTGTGAAAATCCCTGACATAAATAGGATAAAACCATATTGATACATACAAAATATATCGTATTGCAATACGTTTTTGTAATATCGCTATACCGGCAATATGCTTAGACTAAGGAATTTTATCATTAAATATAAAAATACATGTAAGAAAGAAATGTTTGTTATGAAGCCAAACACTAAGACAGAAGCTGTTTCATGGTTGTATTTTAGAGCATTACTTTGATAAATTTAACAAGATTTTTTTTCTTTTTGGCGACTTATCATAGTTATGTAAATTCTGCGTGTAAGTTAACGTAAATTTATTAAGAAAATGCCATTTTATTTACGTTTAAAATATTGCAATACATATCGCTATACAATTAAAAATATCGCAATATATCGCAATACGAAATTTCTGGCCAATACCCAGCCCTAGTAAAAATCCAACTCTTCACCTGATAGACAGATATATTAGACCTCAGGCTTTTATATCATTTAGGTCTCACTGCTGCATTCCGAGTGTTTTATTCAAATTTGTTGAATCAAGCCCATCTCCTGGGTATATTGTTATATAGACAGGGGACTTAAAAATGTGTGAACATGCCTTAATTTACAACATAATAATCTTGTCATTCTGTTAGCTTTTACTGTATTGTGGGAAATCCAAACGAAAAGTTTCAGCACCAAAATAAATAATTTATTTCCCTGTTTCTTTATTTGAATGAATTTATGATCCAGTTGTGTGGTATTAAATTCTCTTGTAATATCATGGTACAATGCTGCATTATAAAATTGGGCACTAAGAGTACAACAGATAATAGACAAAATGTACAAGACAAATTTTCACTGCATATATACATGTATTGCTAAGCTCGCCAACAGGCAAAGTCATTATGCCATAAAAGAAAATGAATTATAAAAATGTTCTGCTTAAATATTTGTTTTTCATTGGTTTCCATGGTGTATATGGTGTCGTTGTTAGGTAATAAATACATCTGATTCAATTTATTATTTAGTTATATAATGCTCCATATTGGTTCCTTTGTTATTTTATTATGAGTATATATATTGATTATGTTGCAGTACATGTAATAGGAAACTCAATATTTCTCCTTAATAGGAGATAGGCCATTATCATGATTAAGATAAATGTCAGATGAACATAAATGTATAAAATACATCAGTAACTGTTATTGTTGTGTTCACAAGTATGTGTACCATGTAAATTGGAAAAGGGGTGAAATTCTTCTGAAAATTTAAAGTTAAATTAATTACAACATGTATGAATATACATGTATTCATCTTTTGCATTCATCTCAATTTAAATCATGCACCCCTCTTACCCCCTCCCTACTCATCATTTCTCCCTTAGGTCCCCCAGTTTTGTTTCTTTAACCATGTTAGCCTGTATTGTTTTATAAATATATGACAAACCGTTAATTTGACACATTTGAAGAATTTGGGAAGAGTAATTCGCCCGTTATGCAAATTATATATACACCAATTTCACCTGTCTCTAGTGCTTTATAATGACTTACCCAACAAACTCCTATATCATGGTCTTAGTATGCATGTATATACCTGTATTAAATTTTTTATCCCCCCATATGCATGTGTTTTGTCCCCATGTGAATGTGAGGCAAGACTGCCTGTTAGGATCAAGGGGAATTTCTTTTTTAACCCCACCCCTGCAGTATCAATTTGTTAAGGGCCAATCCTGCCTTACTATTAATTTTTGAGACAGTGACACTGCAATATTTAAAAAATTATTGAAAAGAATCAAACCAAGGGGTATTAACAGATAGCAGTTTTGAGCACCTTGTCCTTTTCAAACATTGTGTATAATTATCTGTTGATAGGGGATGTTTGTTAATGATGTAATGGGTCCTGTTTACACTACAGCCGTGAATCATTCAGACACAACAACTGTTATAATATGTACCTGTGTACAGGTGTCTTATCGTTAGTCCGTTATAATCAAATCATCAAACCTGATGTATCAGGTAGACAATACAGGTGTTATAGAAATAGAAAAAGGTGCGCAATATCATCAAATTTTGTTCTGAATATCGAAAAACAAACTGGAACAGGAAAACGGGGAAATCTCACCTACTTATTAGAATTTTAGACTACTAGTACTTATGCACCATGTCCCCTATTGACTTAGAGCAAATTATATATAGTACGTTTCGATTATTATATTATTTATTATACACTATATGTTATTGATGATGTCTTAATATAATAGTGTTTTTATGTTTCAGTTGAAAACAATATATTTATAATAAAAACAGTTTATAGAGACAAAAAGGTTACATTATTGATTACATATAGACTAGTGCATATTAGAATACAAAAATAGGGAAAATGTGACTTGACGCCAGGCCCCAGGATCATGAAACAGACTTAGAATTAAGTCAAATTTTCAATTGCCTGTAAAATGTTTTAAAATTATTTACTGAATTTATCTCAAAATTTGTAAATAACAACTCTTTAGTAAATCAATGTGGAAACATATTTTAATTTTTATCTGCTTTACTTCCACTACATTTCAGTAAAACATGAAGATTTTGACTGAATCTTAAGATGTTTCATGATCCTGGGGCCTGATTCCAAGGGATTAAGAACTAAGTCCTACACTTTACACACAGTACCAGTAGGGTTGTTTCTTTTTCATGTCATTAATTAACAGATTTCCTTTATGGATCCCTTTATAAATGCAAATACTGCAGAGCTGAAGGCCATTTTTGGGGTGTGCCTCAACTTTCTGGAAGGTGGGCCATGTCTCCAAATCCTTGGCTAATATTTGCAAAGTTTGTCACAGAGTGTCCTTGGCCTAGGAGCTTTGATTTATATACCAAAAAAATAGAGAATTGTCCCTTAAACAGTGGAAAATAATTTGGGAAAATAAAAACATATGTATGGTTGGTGCCAAAAAATTTTCTCTCAAGGGCCACTGGGCATATTGTCTCCAAATTAACTAACAGTTAATGGTGAGGATTTGTTGTAGATTATGAAAGTTGTTCAAGGCATATCATCGCTGCATATGGGTAAAACTCAACCAGGGATATAGAATTTATATAAAACATTGACAAGTGTCAGAAAGTCTAGACTAGAATGTACATTTAGTTTTAAGGTATACATTTTTTATTTCCTTGCATATTTTAAGGATATTATTAAGGATATATTGTTAAGGTATACATTTTTTATTTCCTTGCATATTTTAAGGATATTAATTATAGATTATTTCCAAGCACCTTTTCATTTACGTATTAATCCTGTGAATTTGTAACTTTATTTTAATTACAGATTAATAATCTGAATCATGTCAACATCCCAGTTATGCTTATGCCAGATGACTTCAAAGCCTTCAGTAAAGTCCATGTGGATTATCACAAATTCAACAAGTAAGTTCATGTGGATAACCACAAATTCAACAAGTACATATGGATTAACACAAATTCATGAAATAAGTTCATGTGGATTACCACAAATTCAACAAGTATACATAGTATATCAAGATATTTTCATCAAACTTGATACACTTAGGCCTTTTCATTATTTTTTTCACCACTATTAAATTAGGATAAAATGTAATTCTTCCTGAAGAGAAGTTTGGATAAAAACAACAAATTTCAACATCAATGTTGCATTTTTTAGTCAGTTGGCAAACAGACATTTTTTTAATGATGGCCAAAAACAAATTGGTTAGAGATACTCAAATATGTCACAATTTTTTTTACCTTAACCTTTCCTGTGACCTTGACCTCGCTATTCTTTTCCCTCTACATTTACCCTAATCTTGAAAAAAGAAGCAAGGTACATTTCTTTTCATGTTGTTTTACTTCAAGAAACCTGGATGGGGCATTCATATGTTTTGTTGATATATATTCAATTTTAGTTTCTAAATTTCTTTCCAGAGAGTCAATGCCAAGTCATTTCAAGGTCAAAGAATACTGCCCTATTGTGTTCAGAAATCTAAGGGAACGCTTCGGAATTGATGACCATGATTACATGGTAAGAATACTGCCCTTCAAAGTTCAGAGATCTTGTTCGTGAACACTGGAAATTGTTACATTTACTGTGATTATACGGTAAGAATACTGCCCTTAAAAGTTCAGAGATCTTGGGGGATGAACACTGGAAATTGTTACATTTACTGTGATTATATGGTAAGAATACTGTCCTTAAAAGTTCAGAGATCTTGTTGGTGAACACTGGAAATTGTTACATTTTATACTGTGGTTATATGGTAAGAGTACTGCCCCAAAAAGTTCATAGATCTTCTGGGGGAATATTTTGGAAACTATTACCATGATTATATAGCGAGATGAACAAGGATGTTAATTGAAAAATGGTGTAACCTTTGTTTGGCATGAAGTGATTAGAAAAATACATATCACTTTGTGTAATTAATGGTTGTTGTTATGTCACTCTGTATAAATTGGTAATTGGAACAAGGATATACAAATGTATTTGACTAAAAAAAAATTGACATAACTGTTCTTTGATTTATAGGCATTAGGCACTGGGTGGTGAAAAAAATATTTAATTATGTCAATTATTTTGATGATTTTTTAGAAAAAATTACATGTTATCCAAATAGGTGTATTTTTTGGCCACCAAATGTGTCAGTCCATGCATCTGCAAAAGAAAATAACAATACATTGATTTCTTTGATTTTGGTATAGTAACTCTCTCTGTGCTGAAAATTGACACTCAATGCTCTATTTAGTTTGTTATTTCAGTACCAAAAGAGGTTATTAACCTCCAATCTCCATAAATTACCACCGGCAGTAGGTCACATAATTACCCCCCATATATATCCATTAAGTCGAGATTGCTAGCTCATTCTGTCATATTTTAACAATATTAAGCATTATCTTTCCTGAGATATGTACATAATTTTCTCTACCTACATGTATCATCCCTTTCTTCCCTAACTAGGTGAATATAATAAAATGTTACTATGGCAGTATAATGTAAACACAATGATTATAGGAACATGAACTTCTAATGCCATATAAACTTCATTGGACTGGTGTTAAGTAACCCTTTTATAACAAAGCAGGTTTATAGATGGCAAATAAAGCACTCATGGACAGGTGTTTTATTGTTTGGGCTATCACTAATGAATATTTTTTTTTCTCACAATGTGCTGGTTACTAGACAAATCAAGATAAAGCTTGCCCTTAATGGTTAAGAGATATTGCCATGACCATCAGACAAATGAAAGGTGGTTTGTGTAAATTAAAAGAAATGTGATGGAGAAAAGAGGAAATTTTTAAAATGTAAATCAACTGTACAAAAATAAGATGATAAGGGAGAAGGATGTAAATAGGGAAGAAAATATTTCAAGTTACAGCTGTGATGTATTTCTGTACCTGTACATCCTGGTGAGAAATGGGGAACAAGAGGAAGGGGGGATATGGATTATGTAACACATAAAAATTCACATAGAAAATCTGATTTAGTAAAAATGGATGCCTTTGTGTAAAAAATATTGTTTTAAAATTAGGCATAGTATAATTTGTAGATCCAAGTTCCTGACAATTCAGGTATAGTCAAACCCAGTTAGTTCAATCTCAATAGGAAGGTCACAGGGTTAAAAATAACTAATGGTCCACTGGTCTGAGCCTGTGAAATTTTAATCTTGGCTAGTTCTTTGCAGAGGGCAAGTGCCCTTTGGGCCAGTGTTTATTCTATTTGATGCATATCAAAATTCATTCATGGTTGGGCTAGTTCACTTGACAAGGTTGTGTGTCCAAGTTTTGTTGTTTCTTGTTCTGTTAAGTTGTACAGTGACTATTAAATATCACAATTTAAAAAAGAATACTGTAAGCCAACTATTTTTCGCATCATCTTTTATTTGCGAAACGTCAGTTTGAAATTAATCAGCAACTGAGGAAACATTTCTTTAAAAATAATAAGCATGATAATTGGTTCCCGTCAATTTATATTCACGAGTTAAAGAAGGTCGTGGAACTCGCGGATATTTCTCGCAGGGGAATAATAGTTGGTTTACAGTACTTTTATATTATGGTGATTTTGAGGCCAGTGTTTTTAAAATATACTGGTCTAATTAAGGGACATGGAAAGTACTGTGCTGACCAGCCAAAATTTAGGTTGATAGCCCAAGTTAACAGTGAAAAAAAAAATTTCCAACCCTGAAGAAGAAAAAAAAACATTAAAAATACTTGTATTGCACTAAAGAATAAGATGTTGGAACTTCCACATGACTTGGACAACATGCCTATAACCCTGGAACTAAAGGGTTTACCTTCAGCCTTAAAACCTCAGACAAATAGTTTAGCCTTGAGGTCAGCAAAATGGTATGTTATTCAGGAACCTGGGGTATCCATTAGGATTATGGATGTTATAACCACTTTTGAGAAGTTTTGAGAAGTTCCTTGGGTTATTCAAAATTATTCTTATTAGATCCACCACCTAAGCTGCTTTGTATTTACGTATTGAGTAGAAAATAAACTTGCAGGGGCAGGTAAATGCAGTACATTTTCAGTATAATTTCTGAGCTAAAACTATAAAATGTCTTTTTCAGAACTCCTTGATCAAACATCCAGAAAAATTTCATAGATTTAATCCCCTTTTGAGGAAGAAGTCCCCTTACAATAATAAAAACCTAAAATATTTTTCCTTCATTATAAAAACTGAAAATTTAAAGTAAAATTTTCATAAAAAATATTAATTTACGCTGCTTTGTAGTCAGTAAAAACGGAAGTGGAACAGCTTGCCCTGCACTATAATTCTCAAACAATATCACCAGGTAGGTCCAGGGTAATCCCAGTATAACAGTTGCTTTGTATATACTATTGAGGTAAACTTGCAGGGTAAATGCAGTACATTTCAGTATAATTTCTGAACCGGGGTGCATAGCTCCCTGATCAAACACCCAGCTGTTGCTCCAAGGGAAGGCACATGACAGGAAGTACTTCATAAAAACACTAGTCAGTGAGGAAGTGGAACAGCTTCATATAATTCTCAAACAATATCACCAGGTAGGTCCAGGGTAGATGGATACTGCATACAGGAAAATTTTCGTCTCCCAAGACTCCTGTCAACAACTGTTTTGTTATACTCCTTTATCGAATGTAAAGATAACTCAGTTTAGCGCCCTTTAATGTCAGCAGGCAATAGTCTTTTTTAACAGTCTACTGACAGTTGGGGAAAACAGTGGAACTGTTGGAATTTTTAAAGTAAGAAATTATATAGGAACTGTTTAGTAGAGGTATAACAAATAATGCTATGGGTAAGTCACACACAGATAATGATATAAATAAGCAAGTGAATATAGTGTCAATGGATTATGTCATGGATGTATGACATACAAACAGACAGACAAAGTTCCAAGATATTAAGCACCAACAGAAGTCAAAAAATAGAGAAATTGATAAAACTGAGAATGCCAATTTTTAGAAAACAAAAAACAATAATGTAGAAGCACAAATTTTCATGGACATAAAATTTCGTTTTGTCATCAAAAATAGTTTCGTGGGTATTTAATTTCTTTGTTTGAAAGTAACCCTATTCAATATATAGTCATATAAAATTTCCTGTGGGATTTAATTTCGTTGAATATTGATAACAACGAAATCAACGAAATTTAATCCCCCACGAATATTTGTGCTTTTACAGTATTGTCTTTTGATATTAAAGACATGTCTATAATGTATGATATGGTGTTCTTCTTGTAGTTCATTGTGGAAAATCATGCGAAGACGTTGCTGCCTCAATATTTGGGAATGTATCGGATCACGGTGAATGACACAGAAACCTATCTGGTGGTCATGAGATGTGTATTCAGCCCACGACTTCATATCCATAAAAAATATGATCTAAAGGTACCTCGTCCATAGTGTATACATGATTTTCAATCTTATAAAAGTATGTATTAGCTTAGTTACTGACTGTCTACAGAAAAAATTTGGGTTGATCAATCTCTCTGACAGCAAGGTTTAATCAAGCCCGCTATCTTATTCATCAACCCGATGAACTTTTAAAGTAATAAAAGTTGAGGTTCTAACTGTATCTAAGTGTTTTACCTTACAAACTGTTATGTAAAACTATTTATTATTATATTGCTGTCTCTTTTACAGGGATCAACAGTGGACAGATCTGCAAGTGATAAAGAGAAGGCAAGTTACCTCCCTTTGTATTTATCTGACATTGTATGAAGCGTTATATGCTCTTGGTATATACGGCCTTAATGATATCCTTTTGATTATTTCCCTTCAGCAGTTTTCTTGCGTTAAAAATTCTGAAATTTATTAATTTATAAATTCTTTTTTTTTGTACAGGCCAAGGATTTACCGACGTTTAAGGACAATGATTTTTTAAGTGACGGTGCCACTATCCACATCGGAGCCGAGAACAAAGCAAAACTGATGGCCATGCTGAAACAGGATGTGGAGGTACACCTTAAAAAGAGACCTGTCTCAGAAGGAAGTTCTTTTGGGGGGGGGGTGGACTCAGAATTTTTTTAATGCACATATAAAGCTAAAAAAAAAATTTCATACTTTTTCATTTTAATGAATTTTGCAGATCTCTCTTGCTATTTAAATCTCTTAATTACATAATGATGATTCAAGTAACAAAAAGAAAGTTTTAAGCTTTTTCCTTGGTTAAAAAATTAACAACAAACTTACAATCATACAAGCTTACAGTCTGTGTTTCAAATAAAATGTGTGAATATTTTGCTTAGTGGATACTGATCTCCATAATCAAAGATCATAAAGTGTGAAATCATTTTAATTTGTGGGGTCAATGTTTGGGGCAAGCAAAATTTTATTTGTTCGTTGGGAAATGATTTAGAGGATAACTTGTATATAGACAGAAAATTTAATGTATAGACATTTTGACTGAGTATTTTCAAGTGGAGGACATAAATTTGTGGATAAGGCAAAAAAAAAAAGTAGTCTTATTTCCTGCTACCAGCCTGAAAAAAGAAATAGGGTAGGTAGGTTGGAAAATTATTTTATTTTTAGCTCACCTGAGCCGAAGGCTCAAGTGAGCTTTTCTGATCAAAATTTGTCCGTCGTCTGTCGTCGTTGGTGTCGTCGGCGTCGTAAACTTTTCACATTTTTATCTTCTTCTCAAGAACCACTGGGCCAATTTCAACCAAACTTGCCACAAAGTGTCCTTAGGTAAAGGGGATTCAAGTTTATTCAAATGAAGGGCCACACTCTCTTCCAAGGGGAGATAATAATGAATTAGTGAAAAATTAATGGCATTTTTAAAAAATCTTCTTCTCAAGAACCACTGGGCCAGGAAAGATGAAACTCATGTGGAAGCATCCTCAGATAGTGTATATTCAAATTTGTTCAAATTATGACCCCCGGGGGTAGGGTGGGGCCACAATGGCCGACCAAAGTTTTACATAGGAGTATATAGGGAAAATCTTTAAAAATCTTCTTCTCAAGAACCACTGGGCCAGGAGAGATGAAACTCATGTGGAAGCATCCTCAGATAGTGTATATTCAAGTTTGTTCAAAGCATGACCCCTGGGGGTAGGGTGGGGCCACAATGGCCGACCAAAGTTTTACATAGGAGTATATATGGAAAATCTTTAAAAATCTTCTTCTCCAGAACCACTGGGCCAGGAAAAATGAAACTCATGTGGAAGCATCCTCAGATAGTGTAGATTCAAGTTTGTTCAAAGCATGACCCCCGGGGGTAGGGTGGGGCCACAATGGCCGACCAAAGTTTTACATAGGCGTATATAGGGAAAATCTTTAAAAATCTTCTTCTCAAGAACCACTGGGCCAGGAAAGATGAAACTCATGTGGAAGCATCCTCAGATAGTGTAGATTCAAGTTTGTTCAAATCATGACCCCCGGGGGTAGGGTGGGGCCACAATGGCCGACCAAAGTTTTACATAGGAGTATATAGGGAAAATCTTTAAAAATCTTCTCCTCAAGAACCACTGGGCCAGGAAAGATGACACTATAGTGGAAGCATCCTCAGATAGTGTAGATTCAAGTTTGTTCAAATCATGACCCCCAGGAGTAGGGTGGGGCCACAATGGCCGACCAAATTTTTACATAGGAGTATATAGGGAAAATCTTTAAAAATCTTCTTCTCAAGAACCACTGGGCCAGGAAAGATGAAACTCATGTGGAAGCATCGTCAGATAGTGTAGATTAAAGTTTGTTTAAATCATGACCCCGGGGGGTAGGTTGGGGCCACAATGGCCGACCAAAGTTTTACATAGGAGTATATAGGAAAAAATCTATAAAAAATCCTCTTCTCAAGAACCATTGAGACAGGAAAGATGAAACTCATGTGAAATTATCCTCAGGTAGTGTAGATTTAAGTTTATTCAAATCATGACCCCTGGGGGTAGGGTGGGGCCACAATGGTCGACCAAAGTTTTACATAGGAATATATAGGGAAACCTTTTAAAATCTTCTTTTCAAGTACTTCAAAGCCATGATTAGTAATATTTATATGGAATCATCCTCAGGTAGTGTAGATTCTAGTTTGTTCAAATCATGATCCTCTGGGGTGTTAAAATTCAAGCCCCCCCCCCCCCCAACCTCAGTAAACTTTAACAGTCAGGGGCATAACTCAAACAAGTTATTTTCAAAAATAACTCAAATGAGTTATTTTACATTATTTCACACACACAAATTTCTTTTTGAAAAATAACTTAAATAAGTTATTTTTATATCCTACTTGGCATTGATTTCTTGGAATTTTCGTGTTTCCTGCCAATTTGCATTGCATTTTGGGATTCCATTATGTAATACCCCCTCCAATGGAGTATTGGTGAGGAGGTGGAGATAAACAGCATTTTACTCCTTATTTTGTGGTTTTATCCACCCAACCTCAGTAAACTTTATTAAGTTCAAACATTTGTTTTCGTCATGGTGCACGAGCAAAATCCTTTGGTGCACGGGGTGTGAAGTGTGCTTTCTATTTTGGAAAAATAATGTGTTTGAGTTATTAAGGTTGGGAAAAAGTAGGTCATAGCAAAGAGAAATACCAAAAAAATAACTCATTTGAGCTTGTTTAATATGCTCTGTTTAAGTTCTGTGAGCTTTCTCCTAGCTGTATGCTCCCTGTGGCCCTTGGGCCTCTTGTTTCATTTTATTTTATTTTTTCCAGTGGTATTTCTTGGATATGAACTCGTACAAAACCAATTAAGACATGTCATAGGTCAACATTATATTTTAAAATTAGATATTATCACATCTTTACATACAGTTTCATGAAATACCACCTGATTATGTACTGTTTTTCTTCACTTTTAAGTTTTTGAACATGAAATACCTGAAATTCCCAATTTTTTTCCCCCAAAACTTAAAAAAAAACTTTAGGGTCGGGTGCAAAAAAAATAGGGTAGGTCGGGTAGCAGTAAACAAGACTATTTTTTGTTTTGGCCTAAGGCTGAAATCCACAGACATTGATCTCCAATGAACATGGATTATTTCACAGTTATAAGTCTGGTTATATCAAGTCTGTTTTCACTTCTGATCTGCAAATCCACTGAAGTATTAATCTATATTTCAGTTTTTGGAGAGTCTACACCTTATGGACTACAGTCTGATTGTGGGAATCCATGACTGTGAGCGAGCTGAACAGGAGGCCATGGAGAACCCTAACGTAGACCATAGCAACATGGAGGAAAATGACTCGGAGAACGGCCTGGATGACGAGGATTACCTGGGGGCGGGGGGTGTCCCCACCCCACCCGACAGTCCACAACCCTCCCCCTACATGCCTTACACTGGGGAGTTAGACAGCGAGATGGAGAGATATGCATTTAAATCTAGTCCTGGTAAGGAAGGGATAAAACCACATTTTAATTATTTTTCTTAATTGATGACAAATGAATGTCATATAATTTGGTTTGATTGCTTTACCCTATATTAGGTTGTACTTAGGCCACACCAATTTAATTTCTTGTTCATCGGACATTTGCTGAAAAAAATTACGAGCAGGCATCCGGTTAAATAATAATATTATTACTTTTTATAGGCAAAAATTTTAGGCGGATCGTGAAAACAATAGAGCGGACAATTAAATTTTTTCTGATTTTCAGAGTAAACAGATTAAAAATATGATAAATAGAGCGGAAATAAAACAGAAAATAGCACAGAATACCCATGGTGCGGGAAATTTAAATTAATATTATTTTCATAGTTTTGTTTAAATACGAGTGCGCAGGTCCGACGAACAAAAAATTTAATAGGTGTGGCCTTGCAATTAAGTGCAGAAAGCATGCTTCATGAAATAGGCGTATATGTGACACAATGTGATTTACATATTAATGCTCACATAAAACCTAAAACATTCCTAAAATAATGTAAACACCTATCTTATCTGAAAAGTTTATTGCACGATTTTTATGTCTTTTTATTCCAGACTGCCCAAGACAAGAAATCTATTTTCTAGCCATGATTGACATTTTAACAAAGTACGGTGTGAAAAAAAGAACTGCCACTGCAGCAAAGACCGTGAAACACGGGGCGGGAGCTGAATTCTCCACAATTCGGCATGATCAATACGCAAAGAGATTCCTAGAATTCATTAATAAGTACATAGAATGACAAGTGAACTGGTTATTTTTAAAACTCTATAGACAAATCCAGAGGCCATTTACTGATGTAATCAGGATTTTGACGTCAGAGAGAATTGTGTTCTGTGATTATGATGTCATGTTTGATGTCATGAAGTTATGACATCATTTTTGATGACATGGATTATGATGTAGGGTAAACTCACATCCCACAAGACTTTGTTGTCTTTGTAAATGTAACTCATAGTCATCGTAGATGTGGAAATAATTCTAATAGGACCATCTCACTGCTCTAGATGTTTAAAAACTGTCACAATATGGTTCATGTCAAAAACTTAAAAAATCTTCGTACTTAAGGTAGGATTCTTCTCATATTTCTTGTATTTAAAAATTAATGAAATTTTTACAGAATCAAGAAGACAATATCAGTAAGTAATAGTATCAGTGAGATTAAATTTGATCGTTTTATATTAGAGGCAAGGTCAGGTCAAGGTCACTATCTTTTTCCTTGACATGATGAATAAAAAAATACTGTTGTCAATCATGTGATGCCTACTTCTATTTCAAAAGTCTAAAGATTGTTCTTTTTGCATAAAAGATATTACTATATAGGGTGTATAGCTTGATATTACCAAATTTACATAAATAATTTAATTAAACTGGATATTGGTTAATCCGAATTTTCTCTGTTTTTAGTATTTTTTAGGATATATTAGTCATTTTCATATGCTTCCTATATTTAACTTTTTCTTGTTTTCACATATATTAAAGTAGTCTTATAAATGTACAAAATGATATGAAAACAAAAAGCTTTGATCATTTAATAAGAGAGAAAAAATACTTTTTTATGGATTTTGGGCTCAAATCTGTACTTTGATTGGAAGCGTTTAAAAGCTAACATAGTTCTAGTTTGTTTGAGAAATCAAATTTATTTGCTATATTTTGAAAGTTTAGTCCCTGATTATTAATTTAGATTACATTTGAAAATTCCTTCAAGTCTTTGATTGCGTAAAAATTATATTTAAATTCATAGTTCTATTATAATTTTGAGAGGCAGAAAAGAAGATATTTTCACACGCCACCATTCTGCCAAAAATATAGTCCCTGCTAGTTTTCGAACGCAGTTTACCATTTGTATTTAAAGTCATACAATTGTGATGAAAGAAGAAAAATATGGTCTTTTAAATCCCTTACACCTAAATATATAAGACATATAAGCAAATATACATTGAATGTTTCATCTAGCCAGAAACCAGAGAAGAATCCTACCTTAAGTTTGAATGCACAGATCTGCAGTTTTTGTTTAGTCTGCTGTAATGTTAAATATGCAGCAAGAAAAATTATACGCTGTTTTAATGGAAGAAAAGTTAATTACAGTAAAACTCGGTTATAGCGGTGTCCTGGGGACCTGTGAATTTAATTCGCTTTATCCGTAATTCGTTATATCCGTATAACAAATTCATAAAACCATATATAGCGATATCGCAATATGCATTTTTTTTTCACTTCAAGTATTACTACCAAACATTTCAGGGAAGTGAATCCTATAAAATATACCTTCAATAACTAAGGTTTTATTATGAATTGAATTTTATATACAAGTGCTAAAAGAAAATAAAGTCGGTTTAATTTATCAAATTTTGAGATCTTTGAAAATTCGTTATAAAAGATGTAAATTTCATTATATTTAACCTCAACGGAACTCAAAATCAGTTCGCTATATCCGTAAATTAGTTATATCAGAGTTCGTTATAACCATAAAATGTTACAAAGATTTGTTAAGAATTTTGCCAGGGACCCTGAAAAACTTCGCTATATCCATGAATTCGCTATATCCGTGTTCGTACTAAACGAGTTTTACTGTAAAAAGTATAAATACCAAGTGACAATTTTTGACATTGATTCTAATGAGTTAAGAACATGATGTTTATATTAAGTACATATGTGTTGTTAAAAAAACAGCTTTTGAAAAGATTTTATAGATTATAAGAGATAATAAACAAAAATATTCAGGAGCAGTAAATGGTCTAATGTCTAGTGGTGAATTTTTATGAGTTCATGTCATTATCTTTTTTTTTTTTTTTTTTTTTTTGAATTAAATAGGAAGTACATGTACATTGAAATACAATGAGTACCTCGGCAGAAAATGTTACTTTTTGTTTGGAGATTTACAAAAATTATTTTTTTTAGCACCAGCTAAAGATAATATTAAGAAGTCAATGTAGTTCGTAAATATATGATAAGTCTTGAGTGGCCCATTTATATTGTAATTTTGTCCATATTTACTACCAATGTTGATAACTTAGACACACTGTAAATACAAAACTGAGGAATTGGTATGCCTTACACTATATTAATTTTTCTTTAATTTTCAGAAAACTTAAAAAAATTACATATATACATTGACGGTTTGGGGCCATTGTTTTAAAATAATATTTGTTTTTGAACATGTTTTATATGCTGACAATTCAGATTTGGCTTATTGTTTGGTAGTTTGTCATGGCTGTGTTTTGTGTAATGCTGACCAAGTTTGGAAGTAGCAACAAAAAATTATAAAACTTGTGATTACAGCACTAATGTTGGCGCTCTGATTCTTTCTACTGTGAAAAAATTACAGAGATGATTGTTAAGTACCTTTCAAAAAATTTAATCTCTTTTAAATATTGTTTGGCATATTAGAAGATGTTTGCAACTGAAAGTTCTTTAAAACAAAAACCAAAAACAGAAAAACAATAACTTCTTTGTCTAGTAAAATTGAATTCATTATTTCTTTTTTAATTGAAGATGTATATAAAAATGAATTTCAGGCAAATTACATTTGAATATCCCATACTTGGTGAATTTTTTTTTTAATTAAATGTGGTAGGAAAACTAAAATTTGTTTCACTTGTAAGTTATTAACAGAATATTAATTATTGACTAAAACATCTATGTTTCCAAGTTTTGTCTTTTAACTCAAAAAAATTGTTTTGTGTCATTTATACTGCCAAATAATTTAGGATACAGCAAAGCCTCAGATGCATGAACCAGAAGTCAAATAGGCAATTAATTTAGCATTTAGACCAAGATATGCAATGTTTGAGAAAAAATTTGATGTATTCTCCATTTGTACATTTCTGTTAACTTTCTCTCCCAAACAAATGAACTTAATTCTCTGATGATAATTCAAATAATAATTTTTTTTTTAATGTAACCATAAATTTATAAAATAAGGTCTCCTTAGTATATACATTTAAACTTGTGTATACAGTGCCTATTGTCTCAAAGAATTCAATGCATTACTCTTTGATATTCTCTTGTAGTATAAACAGTTGTATTTATTATAAGCTTGAAGGTAACTTATAACATATCTGCTCTAATATAAAATAATATGTATTGTATCTATTGCAATTTGCTATATTTTAGAAACATAATGTTTATATTTAGAAAACCTTTAAACACAAAGAGTCCTTTTTTATACTGCCTAAAATAACTGCACTAATTGTTGACAAGTTTTAGGGATTAATAAATTTTTTTTTAATTTGGAATGAAAAAAATTATATAAAATACAGTCAGAATAAGTTTATTAAAAAGTTTCTATCCCAGAAGGACTCCTAATGAAATACAGACACACAGAAATCTGTAAATGTACCTTTTTTCTGCTGGAGGTACTACATTTATGCTATGTATGAGGTCACAAATTTTTCCATTGGGAATTTGTAACAGGGTATATAAAATATGTGAAGACATGGCAATCCAATTAAATGTCAAAATTCTTACCCACAGATTAAACACAAAATGTTATTCCATGGAATTATAACCCTGTGTTAGAAAGGACATTTCCAGTAACGAAAAGAACATTGTAACATTTTTTTTTATTTTATTGAATTGATAATGTTAAGAATGTCAGAGAGAAAAAAGAAAATGAATTTGCCTGTATCATCTCATACATGTATATTCAGCCTAAGTATTATATAGTGCTGTTAAAATTTATCCACATTTGTCTCCCTTGTTACTCATTGTTATGTGTATACATACTTATATATCTACATGTATGCTTGTTGATCTTTAGTGCTGTTCACATATGTATGTTAGTCCCATTGTGTCTCTATACACAATTAAAATAATCAGTCAAATTAATAACAGGCATGGACATAATTGTTATATTATAGAAAGTAAATGATACATGGTGTGGAAAAAGAAAAGATAATCAAGCATGTTTGTCTTTTCTTTTAAGAGATTCATTTTATATCTTGTCAAAGTGCAATACATTTGTATGTATGGCATTATGTCTAAAAATTATAAAATATTCACAAAATTAAATGAACAATTGAAATATACATATACTTAACACACTAAACTTAGAAAATGCACATGTTGAAAAGTATTAATACAAAATTTTAGTTAATTTTAAACTTTCTGGAGTTATCTTTTCAAAGTACAATGTATAATAATTGTATGTCAGTCACTACTGATGTGATAAAACATTACATTTTCTACTTGTTTGACAACGATTTGGTCCACTTTTTTGTGTTTTGTTTTTTCCTTAAATTTTCAGGTGTTAGGTAGTGCAAGCAAAAATGCTAGATACAATCTTGCCAATGCTTTTCCAATATGAGACATTAGACATATATGTAGTGCAATCACATGGTATTATATGGTCACTTCTTTTATCCATAACTTTTTGTTACTTGAGCAGATTCATGTGTGGTATAATTCATTTATATTCAATTTTATGTCTGTGTTATAAAAATTAATCAGCTTTCCATAAACAATTTTAATGGACCAGTAACCCAAGAACTAGTATTACCTATTTATTTATCCAAATTTTACATGTTACATGGTAACAAATGAAGTAAACAGATTTTGTGAGGAAAACAGTAACTTAAGAATGAATTATATCTGGTTTATATCTAACATATGTAACTATCAGCATGACCAGTAAAAAAATTAATTTTTTTTGTTATTTTAAGTTTTACTTCTTAATTATAAAAAAAGTAAAGTTGACAAGCATTCCTTTTCCTTGAAACACTACCAAAGCGTTGTGAACAAATGATATTGTTCAGTGTTTAAGATTGTCATGTTTTGTGATTATGTCCAACACTGTCAGTTATAAATATATATGATGTGTCCTTAATGTTGTTATTTGGCTCAATTCTGTGCTTGGTAAATTTGTAGAAAATCAAATAAACAACATTTAAATTCATTTTTTTTTGTATTTTTTTAAATTGCATTGTACGTACTGTATATATATATTTTTTAAAGAAACTGTTCAAGATATAACTATGGCATAGATTTCCGATCATTTTTGTTAATTTGTCCTGTGGAAGCATTCTCAAGTACATGTAGTGTGGTGTTTACTACAAAGTGGAATCTACACAGTGTAGATTCCACTCTGTTCCAATCACTACCCCCCTTTCTCCGAGTTAGGATAGTGTCATAAAAAAGTGTCTTTAAAAATCTCAAAAACAGCAAAGGTGTGATTAGTCATGAATATGGCACAATCTTGAGATAGTTTAGATTCATTTTTTGAATCAAATCGACACCTTGATAGTATGGGGGCAAAACAGGGGATTAAAGTTTAATGTAGGAGGAAGGTATGCATATAAAAAATGACAGGGTCTTATTGATTCAGATGAGTATTGTGGCCCATTCTCCTCTTGCTTGAATATTGATCATACATGTACATGTATCTCAAAAACCCCTGTTGCATACTCTGGACACTGTTAACATACATGAAGTATCATCCAGCTCTGTCACTTGATGCATCCCAAGGCCTTGGAATATATCAACCAATATGTAGGTCACAGTGACCTTATTTTCGTAATTCGTGGCTACCGGTATTTGGTCATCTGCATGGCACAGTGGTTAGAGTGTTGCTGTAGAATCGTCGAGATGAGCTTGCCAGAACATGCGGTATCGAACAGTGGGATGTGGAGACCAAGCTCAAAAGTCCATTAAACAGTACAAAATAGGAGCAGAACAAACACAGACATCCAAAAACATCAGGAGGTGGGATAAGGTGCCATAGAGGAGTTAGCATCCCCTGCCGACCGGTCACACCCGCCTTGTGCTCCTTGTCGTGATCGGGAAAATCCGTCGACAATTCAGTTTGCATGTACATGATGGCCTAATTATTAGTATGAGAAACCCCATTAAGCATTTGACTTTATAGGAAATTGTATCTGCTGACAAGGTGATTGTATCAAACATACGGAGTTTATATATCTCAGTTGATTCCGTACGCAAGAGCATGTTCTACGTATGTACAATTTCTAAAACGAGGTAAATTATTTACAAACAAGTTGATGAAAGAAGAATATTAGCAGTTTCGTTTAAAGTCATCACTTCGTATATTCTGTGGTCGATACAATGACCTTGTCAGCAGATACAAT